CCCCACCCGCGGGATCCGAACCCAGGACCCATCAGTCTCACGCGCGAGCGCTTAACCATACCGCCCCCCTCCGTGGGATTGTAGATGTGCACTGCTGAGTCCCATACTATGACGAAACGACCGTCCAGTGCTTCCAGGTTTTCCATGATGGTCTAGCTTCAATTGACTCATGTTTTCAACTACTGAAATATATTATTTGTTAATTATTGTGTTATATATTACTTTCTTTATAGGAGATTTACTTGGATTTTGAAATAAATTTTTTTAATTTACATTTATATATGTAGTTAATTTAACCAAACAATAGATTACATAGCATACAATCGGTACTGCGATCTGACTTCTTTGGACATTTAAATGAATTTCGATGTAATTAGAACATATTTAGTTTTCTTTATTACTTACAGAATAATCACAGTAATTTATTCTCATTTTTACCAACTGAATATCACAGAAATCAGTGAACAATTTTCTAGCGAGATATGATGAATAAACGGTGCTTTTTTGGGAGAAAAACCTCAAAAGATTTTATGAATAGTACACGGTGTATAAATTTGATTAGATTAATTTTGGAAGTCAGTTAATGATAGATGAAAATGTAATTCACAATTAACATGAACAAATTTCTACATAACTAACTTCAAAGGAAAAACGTTTGAATGAATAATTGTATTCAATAATTTCATCATCAGGCTTTACAGTTATAAGTTATTGTTTATTATGTTACAATGTTTAAAAGAAGGAACGTGTCAACTTATGAATTAAACAATGTTTTGTGTGGAAAAATGGGGAAATTTAGGATTTTTTAGTTATATCCAATGCGTATTCTTTTGAGAAATGGAGTTAAAACTTCATTGTAATATGTCTAGTTCCAATCATTATCGTGAAACAATGTAAACAAAATGTATAGTTAAAATTTCGTCTGACTAAATGAGACAATGTTGACAATACCAGTAATAATAATAATAAACTGAAGCGAAAGCTAACCACTTTTTTCATTTAAAACATTCGTTTAATTCACTTATTTATATAGTCGTTGTATCACAGTAATTATGGGCTTAAAGCTATTGAGTCTAATTCACTTAGTGTTGTTTGCATATATCTTCCTATTGTTGTTTAGGACTGCAATTGATCAGTCTCTTGTTGATACATGTGCATTTTGTGCAGATTGTCTCGATACTTCCTTAAGTCACAAGCTTTCTAAGCATAGATGGATAGTGGCTAGCAGTGGAATCCAGGACACGAGTTTCGTCCTATCTGGGACTCGTCAGCTGGATGTACCTGCATCCCAGAGTTGACGTTCACCCTGGGACTCGAACCCAGCACCGTTCGCTTCAAATGTCATCGCGTTATCTACTTAGCTACTGAGTCCTGATAACTATCTGCTTGTGCAATGGGATGAACATTAAATTCACTTGGTGTTGTTTACTTTTATCTTCCCATCGTTATTTAAAATTGTAATTGTTCTCATGACAAAATTACAACAAAATAAACAATCTATGTTTTTTTTTTGGAAATTTTTCATGGGAATTTTTAGACTTTAAATCACTTAGTAGCCAATTATAAAAGATGAAATATTGAAAGAAACATTATGTAATTTGTTAATTATTAAAATTTACTCTTATATAACATTATCATTTATAATATTTAAATCTATCTTCATCTATTAATAATAGGAATTTGAAATCATTCAGATAACAGAATTAAAATAAAAACAAAACTCGTTCATATTAATTGTAATAAATTGAAACGAAGTAAATTTAATAATCAATGATCCGATTTCTATTTTATGCTTAACCTGTATAGTTACTACTTATATTGTTTGTCAACAGTTTTATTCTTTATAATTTATAATAATTTCAGTTTTTTATTCTCTTTAGGCTAATGAAATAAATAAGATGAAGATAATAATTTTCAAAAAGAATATTTTTTAGAGAAAAATAAAATAGATAAAATAAAAGATTTCTTTAAGCAGATAAATGGATTAAATATTTCTTTATGAATGCATGGCTTAATAATTTATTTCAGTAAGTAAAAAATATCTAACACGGTAAATTGTTTTGTTTCTTTTTTACAACAATAAATATGTATGATCATTTAAGCTTCTTTTGTGATCATACGTGTAAAGGTAGTTAATATCTGAGACATAAGGTATTCTTTCACGAAGTGGACAGTCATCGGAAATTTAAAAAATGAACATACGTTTATTCATATCAGAAAGGTGTTGTGGATGTTATAGTAATTTCAGTGGTCAAGATCATGAATCAATTGAAGCTAGACTACCATGGAAAACCTGAAACCACTAGAAGGCCGTTCCATCCCCAGCAGTACGTATCTACGATCCGGCCCTCCGATGGATTCGAACCCAGGGACTATCGGTCTCGCACCCAACCACTAGACTACGGAGCCGGCATCCAACGGTGTTAATGTCTAACTTCAACTAATCCACGAAGTTGAGCGACACATCCACCATTACCCTCAGTGAGTTGATATCTCACAACAGACCCAATTGAACTCCAACGAACACTGCTTCTCACTAGATCTCCAGGAAATACCTCTTGAAACCAGTCACTAGTGAGCATATGTTAATTCATATCAGAAGGTGTTTTTGTGTGCGCGAAACTGATAAGTCCTGGGTTCAAATCTCGTGAGGTCAGGTCGTGGATGAGCACTACTGAGGTGTCCCACAACAGGTTTTCCATGGTGGTCTAGCTTCAATTGACTCATATTCTCAACCATCAAAACGTTTAATTAATTAATTTTTAAATAAAGAATTTATATCGCTTGTTATTTAAGGGAACGTGACTGCTCTTGGCAATTTATTTGACTTTGTAACAAGTTGAAAATTTATCTTTTACTTATAATCTTATTCTAATGTAGCTTTCAACTAGGGCTTTACATGTACTTTAGAATAATTCCGTTATACTGTAGTTCTTGTGTTTATAATTTATTCTTAAGAAACGTATGATACATAATATCATTCACAACTAAAAATAAAATTTTCTTTCTACAAACTTGATGATATTAAACTTTAGAATATATTACTTTTCCATATAAATTACTTACTACTGTACTTACTCCTGTACTTACTCCTGTTACTGCCAATGGATTATAGGCCGCCAACCAGCATTTCAATATAAATATCCACGGCCAAATACACCTATTTTAATATATACTGTCTGATGTAACTTTCTTTTCTACAAATTACCATATTACTAAACTGGTATAAAAATTTTTTTAAGAATAAAAAGTTAACTGAGTTATTTAATTTATTGAATAACTCAAAGAATTTGTCATATTTATGCTGAAACAATAAATTTGTGTGTGTGTTTGTCAATGAATTGGATTGATATTTTCATCTCACTGTTTATTAGTTTTGATTTATTTATTTATTATAGAATATATTAATTGTTTTCTAAAGTGAATATGACGGGTTTCAACTAATTTAACTGTAAACCAGTTGTCATGATATTAAAAAAACATTCTAATTGCATCATTAATGAAAATTAACTTAAACATGTAAAGTTTAATATGATATGGACTTAGGAACTGATAAATAAACTTGTAAAATGACAAATTTAATGAAATTATTGACCAAATAATAAGTTATCAGTTAACTTATTCATAAAACGATTTAGTCATAGTGTGGTGTGGATTACTCATACCCACATAGGTAGTATATAACGGTGGTCAGATATAGAATATAGTTGAGTAAAAAATCGATGAGGAAAGAACGGGAACAAAACGCAATTGGTATGAAAATGCATGAACAATGAAATCTGAGATAATGGACTGATATTTGCAAACGGAATAGTCAAGTTTGATATGATGGATTGATATTTTGCAAATTAACTATTTACTATATGGTTCTCAGATTTTATTGATATGTTCTGTAATTTCATGTCAATTACATTCGATTGTCTCCATTCGTGTTCTTGTTCACTACAAAAGGAGTACAAGGAAATTGTCAATTAGTATGAGCATTATACTAATGGAAATAGCTTCGGCGTTTTTTTTCTTTTTAATGAACTGAAATTCTAAAGTACTAAACATACTAAGTTTTATACATTTTATTTGAATTTTAAACCATTGTCTAAAGTTTTGTTTGTTAGTTGGACGTGTTATGTATTAAGCTAGTAGATTTTAGTAGATTTCTGACTTAGTTCGATTAAAGGATCACAAATTTTGCAGATTATTGAAGAATGGTATCGGGAAAATGGGCGATTAGTTTGATCAAAATTATTATAAATTCATGTTGTTAGGGATTATGAATTTCAGTTAATGAATCAACAATTTATTCAAAATATTGACGCTTACATAATCTGATTAGGATTACACATGAAAAAAGTACTATAATAAATTAAGGGTAAAATTGCTTCTTTACTCGGGCTCATAACCAGCAGTAACCCTAAAATAACACTGGCGAAGTTCATGAATTAAGGGAAGAACATTAATTTCGGCATTCAGTAAGCCTGTAACAAATGTGACAAATCATGTATGTTTGTAAATGCAAGTATAATAATTTCATAAAACATAAGGATTAAATTAAGTGTAAAATAATTGGAATTAGATATAATGTTTTATGCATTGACCCAATTCGAAGTGCCATCGAAAACCAATGTCATTAAAATCCTTTCTTGTGAATGTTTGTAACTCCCCAGTAGTTCGCAACCACCACCTTGCATTTGTTTGGGCCTGAGTCTTCTAGGTCTCATGACCAGCTAGTCTCCTATATTATTTACTGGCTAGAGCCCAATGATCACTCACTGTCGTCAATAACAACTTTCTTGCACCAGGTATATTTGAACTCTACTGGCCACCACTTCGCGATAGAGCTCTAGGTACACATCTCAAAATAAGCTGACTATTATATTTCATATGAAGTGAAACTGTGTATATAAGATTTATGAAGATGTTCTTATTTTTATTCATCTAAACATAAATATCAGTTTACTTAAATATAATGCTCTAAATTTTCAACTACTTATCTTTTTGCACAGCTAGCAGCGATTCTTTCAGATGAACCAAATGCATTCTATTGTACACGTGATACACCTTTGATCAATGAATTATTTGGAGAGTATGTCAATGAACAAATTGTTCAGTCACATACAAGTTCATGTGATACATATGAAAAATTGTGCGCAAAATGCTTAAATCGTATGACAGAAAATTCAAAATGCAATTCAAAATATATGAATATGAATGAATTTTCAGGTAAGTATACTTAAATAGTGTTTAGATAAATATGTCAATTAGATTTAAGCATAGTACTTTTCAATTGATTTCATATTCTAAACATTGTGACTAATGTAGTTTTAGAACGGTGTATATAGAGCAAGTTTGTTGAAAGAAAAAAATTAAAGCATCCTTTTATCAATCTCTTGTGCTTGTATAAGTTTCCATCTACATTTATATTCTGTTGAAGCTAAAAATTGCTTTGTATCCAGATATCAGCTTTTCTAGGAAACATAGAAATAAAATAAAAGATATTATTGTATTTTGGTGGAGTTTTGTTCTCTGAGCTGAATGGTTCGGTCGTGGAGTTTTCATGGTTATTTTGAACGACATCATCAGCACAAATGTCAGCTCAGAGAACAAAAATTCACCAAAATCATCCCCTGAGCTACAAATCTTCGTAACTTGGCAAAATTTTGGAAAAAAGTTGGTGAATACTCATTAATGCAAAACTTGTATAAAGGTAATCAGTTGAAAATACATTCCATGAATACTTTATAAGAACTTTCTTATAAATTTGAACGGAAAGTTATACAATAGTTGAGGACCTTTTTAGAGTATACCATTAAGGAAGAAAATTATATTTGTAAAAATCTCAGCTATTAAGCTTTACGTAAATCTAACGTTATGTTAGGTGGCTACTTGCTATCTTGTTAGTAACTTAGAACGTAAGAATGAAATCATTTAGATATAGATGTTATGAGAAAAGCAATCCAATACCCACGTAAATAATATGGACTTTTAATCAGATATTCCACCTCTGTAAACTATGGAAGACAATCCAAGCAAGCCATCAAAGGACAAAGCAAATGATTTTCAGGACGGCTATTTACATGGTAATAATTAAACTTGCATTGCTAATGAAAACTACTAATATCAGCATAGAAAGGAATCTGTGGACAGTACACATGAAAACTGAATAACTGTTAACCATGTTTCGATAATTGTATGCCAATAAAGAGTACCTGTAAGCGTATTTATCTTTAAAGTATATTAATATACCGTTTTGCAGTTCCGAACTTATAAAGTAACAATTGTATAGACAAATCTTTCTTATCAGTATGGGGTTGTGGGACTCTTCGGCAGTACACGTCCATACTAGGACGAAACGGCCATCCAGTGCTTTCAGGTTTTCAATGGTGGTCTAATATTGTTTGATCCATGATATAAATCAAGATAATCCTTGTTAGTCAATTTTTCTTCAAATTCGTTATTATTTATATATAAGTGAAGTAACTGATAAAACATCTATATAACACTTGGCTTTTATCACTGATGAAATGTATTTATCTAATTACAACATATATAAGCAAATAATATTGTTATCGATTAGACTCACATCAGGCTTTACTCTAATATACAGTAATATTTATAAGCACATGACTATGAAACATACAAATATATGAAAAAGTTTGTGAGCAATCACTTTACCTTACCGTTCTCACTTGAATCATATCTATGAATAAACATTTGATTTGATTTACCACTAAAGTTCGCTTTCCAGTCGAGCTGGTAGGTGAAGTCGATTAGTTCTCCCAGAGATAAGACATAAATTGAATCCAATCACAACTACCGAGGCACCAAAGCAGATTTTGGTCCAGTTTATTTTTTATCTAATTTCTTTTCTGGTCATCACTGACCATCTACGTACCACATACCAGTTATTGATGATCTTTTTCAAAGTGGACAGTTTCTTTTAGTACCAAGCAAATGGCCATTAGTGTATTTGTTGGGATGTTATTTGATAAGTGAGTTTTAAGGGACGATATTGTTAGATTGTTATGTCAGTGTTGAGCCAAGTCAGGATGGTAAGCCTAAAGCTAACATTTTAGCCATATGTAATCTTATACGTTTATTACAGTCTTCAAAAAGGCATTCGATTCTCATAAGTACAGTAGATCTGGTAAATTTACGAGATGATCGTTTCTAAGGTGTTGATTAATTTACTAAATTTTTGTAAAGTACGATTTGTCTGGAGGAACGGTCTTTTTCAATAATGAAATTAAATTCGTTAAAAACCTCAACTCGTGTAGTATCCGACGGGAATAACATACCTGTATGCGTGCAGATAGAAAATATTTCTGTAATAACAACATAAATAGTAATTACAACATGCGATAGCAAAAATGATAGCTGAGAGCTACGTCTAACGTTAACAACGGTTTGTCAATAGCTAAAATGAGATCCAAAAACACACGAATTTGGAAACTGTTGGATTTAAAAAACCAATCAAGTGATGTATGAAAAATGGAAATAACAGTTTCAAGGGTCGATAGAAGGTAATTATAATACAAAATACAGGAAATGTTTTACGTGTACGTAAATTCGTTAGGATTTTACACAAACTGGAGTTACACCATACATACAGTTATAAATTATTAAGAATAAAAATGCTTACTGAACATTCAAAAGTAGTATAAAACAATACACAAAAAACAACTTGAATGAGTAGAGAATAGTGACAGGAAGTGCTAACAAACTTAACAATTGATGTTGCCTCATTTGTGTATAAGTTCTCGTTCCCCTATTTGTTTGGGGTTTTAGTCTTCATTGTTATTTTGGTTAATCTCAGTTGGATTCGAAATCCAAATTATAGAAGGAATTTGTCTTATCCAGATATTGATATGGACTTGTATATTATCATATAGTTCTATACTGTGGCTATTTAGAGAACTCACCATTATATTACTTGGCTTTTTGTGTGTGATTTGGCATATGTTCAGCCTATTTTGCTGTGCTTTTATTTCAAGATTAGGTATATTGACTTTGTCGTGAAATCGAGTCATCGTTAGCTATTTGTGATTTTTTATACCTACAATCGTTCGACGGGTTATATTGAGCACAGCGTTTATTTTAAATCAGATATTCTTTTATATAATTGATTTTATCCTATATATCACAGTAGTAATGAGACAAAAATCCACGATTCTGAGTTATGTGTTGAGACTTATTTTTGTGCACCCTAGTACTGGTAATATCTTTATTAAGGTGGTTCTTAACGTCTCATTGTTGGAAGGTTAGTATGGTCTTCACCATAGCCGCTTGCATTGATTCATGAGACTGAATCTTACTATCCATGGAGCACTACATGGAATGGCGAATCGGTCATTGCTCTCTAACATTACACTATTATTTATCTAATCATATTTATTACTATTTATTCTAATCGCTTAGCTAATAATTACAAGTGACCTGTATATTAATTCAGGTTAACGTTACACACCAGTTGTCTGTAAATTCATATGCTATAATTTTAAAGTATGTATTTGTCTTAAACGTGGCCACTTTTAATTATCGTCAACTGGGATTGACATTAAATAAATAACCTTTCAAAATCAGGAAGCAATGGACAGCTGTTCCTCAATAGTAACGAACTACACCGACCTATACATCTAAGACCTCACCAAACATCGCATCCAGAAGCTCAGGGTATAACGACGAGCGTATTAACCGTAGGCCAGTGAGCTGACATCTAATGGTTTAACTTTAGTCAGTTCATGATATTACATAACCATCTTTCCATAACATTGGTATGTGATTATATTGCAATTGAAGTGGGCAGTCTTTTAAAAGAACTCTGGAAATTAGGCACTGGTGACAAAATTCATATATCGGTGTTTTCACTATGGTTATTTATAGAATAGTGTATTTGATAAGATAATCAAAAATACTTCTTCGGCATTCCTCTCGATGAACGAATCAGACATGACTTCAAATTCCCGATATCTTCGACAATTAAAGAAATGATGTGAAATTTTACTCATTAATCGATTATGGTGATTTCAAATCAAATAATTATAGTGTTTTGGGAAGGTATTCTTGTTTTAATAACAACTATCACCGACATTTAATCAGTCAGTAAATGAAAAACTAAGTCAAACCCAATCTTATGCTTTTTGGTGTACAAACCAATAATGGTATGGTCAGTTAAAAAAGCTCACAAAAAACAAGATAATACATTTCCAAATACGGACACAATTAGACAAAAAGCGTCTTATCAAGCAACTTGAGTTAATGTTAAGATGGACCTGAAGGATTGCAGTTGGTACGACAAAGGCTACTGATTGATACTCAAATAGAGTTAATAACGTCAAATTACAACTCCACATGTAGCACAGCTAATAAGTCTGAAATCCAAAAGCTATACTTGTACATATATTTGTTTCTTAAAGGCCCAAGCAGATTTAATAAATAACAGAGAATTCTAAAAGTTGAGTGAAAAAAATGTCGACGTCTACTACAGCCACAGAGAATAATAGCGCTGAATAATCTTGAAAATTTTCAAAAAATTAGTCATTTCCTATATTAGTAAGGACTTTTCTTATAGAAACTTGTTAACTGTTTAAATGCACTGTAGAATGGAGTAGTTTACATTTTGAATTTATTAATTTGGTGATTAAGTGAGTGTGAGTTTATTACATCAAAGTTTATAATATTGTATTTCATTAAAGCACTGAGCCGATATTAGTTGGACCACTATTGAAAACCCAGAAGCACTGAATGGCTGTTCCATTCTAGTATAGGATTTCTCAACAATAAACATCCACAACTTAAGAACTCTGGTATCACATGCAAACGCTTAACACTCAGACCACTGAGCGGAGAACCAGATCTTGTTAATGTTTAATTTCGATCAATCCACAACACTGCACGACAATCTTCCATCGTCTTCAGTATGCAACTACTTCACAACCAGTACGGTGTCCAATACTTGGACGAAATAATTGTCCACAACTTTCATATTTTTAATGGTGGTCTAAGTAAGATCGGTTCAAGACGTTAATGAAATTCAGCAATCTCTACAACCCTATACTAAAATTTTGTATTTGTTACACTTGGCCTCACATAACAGATTTTAAGAAGTGATTTTTTCGTATAAACATTGAAAGTATACAAGAAAATTCCTCTTAAGGTATAAATAACCAACATCTAATCATTATGTTAAATAAATTAATGGTAATAACAGATTTTTATCATAA